GAATTTTTTAAACAAATAATATAAATTTCTTTACATTCTATTAAAAATAATTAAATTCTTTTAAAGAATTTTATTTAAATTTTTCGATAATAGTAATCAAGGGATGTTAGTCATCGTAATTACAATTTTATTTTTAAAAATTTCTTCGCAATATATTCAATTATTACAGAATTTCAATCATTTTTAATACAATTTTAAAATTGTACCTATTTTTAAAATTTTTTATTAAAATTCGTCGAAAGAATTCAATTATTTCCATAAATAGCAAAATTCTTGAGATTTATTAAATTCTTTTGAATATTATCTTTAAAAAAAATTCTTCACAAGAATTCAATTATTTTTATAAATTTCCATAAAATTTTAAAAAACAATTCAACTATTTTCAAAAGTAATTATGTTTCAAAACTTTTTTAAATTCTCAAAATCTCAATTAATTATCTTTATAAATTATTAAACTGTTCTCGACAATTCAATTATTTTCCAAATTTTCAATACAAATTATTAAAAAAACATTATTTTCAAAAAATTTTAAGAAAGTCGTGAAATGAATTTAGTTATTCATAAAAACTCTAATAAGAGTTCCTGAAGCTTCTACAAATGTTATAAGAATTTAGTTACAAAATTTAATTCCTTTGAAGATTTTTATTGTTTTTGCATGTGAATATTTTATTACTTGAAAATCATCGAATTTATGTAAACGAACTGAATACTAGGGGAGAGGAGAGTGGAAAATTTGACTGCATATTTGTGGGGGGAAAAGTAGTTCATACATGTTATTTTCTGTTAATAAAATTGAGAAAAACAATATTAAAAACTTTCATCAATATGATTAATGAATTTTTAACTATTTCAATGTCATATAAAGGAAAGAAATAAAAAAATAAAAAAAATGATTTGTTTTTTAATGAAAGTAATTATACTTTAAATGATCAAGAAAGAAGAAGTGAGTCTTCTTAATATTCCAACATAGTAAGGAATATGTTTGACGACAAAAAATAAATTTATTCGAAGAACAAAAGGTTATTTGTTTCAATAATCAACAAAATTTATTACTTTTATATTAAAAAAATTATTAGATTTGTCAATTAATATCAATATTGTTAACATTTAATATTAGAGTTTTTAAATAACTTTTGGCAGAACTTTATCTTTAGATGTAAGCAACATATTCATTTCAGTAATTTAACCTCTTTTTTAATTCTGATTTGATCTGTAAGAAAAAGAAAGTGAATTTAAGTTTTAACTTTTCTTGAATTTTATATTTATTTATCTAATAAATAATAGTATATTTCGTAACGAGTGCGAGCAGTTGTCAATTTTTGAACGAGTACTTTTTTGGAACAAACTGAAGCTTCGCTTCGCCTACAGTTTGTTCCAAAAAAAGTATTCGTTCAAAAATTGGCAATTGCTAGCACTAGTTACGAACGATATTTTTCATAACAAGGTGCAAAAAAGTGCCCTTTTTTGCACCACGTTATGAAAATTATATTTATTTTAGTTATAATTTACTTACAAAATCTTCTTTTTTAAAGCTTCTATTTTTTTGTATCAATCACGAATAACAGCCGTTATTCAAAACCATTCAGCTCCAAATTTTTCGAGTCTTTAACATTGGCCCTCTTCAACATTGACATCAGCAAACACTATTAAAAATTTTTCATACTGATTTTTAGTGAAAGAAATATGACATTTTAAAGAAAAAGTAATTGATATTAAAAAAGAAATAATAAGAGAAACAACTTTCTTAAATATTAAAAAATTAAACGCAAACATAATCATACATAGGGGAGACTGGGGTGAAAAGTTAAATTGTGAAAACAGTTAAAATTCATTATCTTTCGAACATAAATAGTTAGAGCATTGCAATTTTAATAATAGAAGAGTGTTATCACCCTAAATAAATGTCCAGAGTTATGTGACATTCTGCTAATTTTTTTTTGTGCTAATTTTTGTCCCCTGAAGAGATACCTAAAGGTATTTGCTAAATATCTTTAGTCAGATTTTTTATATTTGTTGTTAAAGCCAAAAACGCACCCTGGGGCGAAAAGTTAAATGTATTTTTACATGTTGTTAAATTTTTTTTTTGATATTTCCGGTTTTTGGGTTTATTTGTTTAAAAATGATTTATTTCACATTAGGCAAGTACTCTGTCAAAAATCATGACCATTCACGTGAAATAAACCAAAATTTTTTTTTTGAAATTTTATTTTTTTTTATTTTATACACGGAAAGAAAATTATATTAAATTTTGTAAAAGTGCTTCTCAATTTAGGGAAAAAGTGCACCAAACCGAAATTTTGGTATCAAAAATACTAAACAGTGAAAGGAATAATATGAAATTTAGTATAATAATATCAAATATCAAGAATTTTAATCTAACTTTACTAAATTTCAAATTATTTCTTTCACTGTTTAGTATTTTTGATATGAAAATTTCGGTTTGGTGCAATTTTTCCCCTAACTGTAAAAACTTTTACAAAATATATATGATTTGTATTAATATATGTAATAAATTTTCTCTCCGTGTAACTGTTCTAAAGCTTTTGTTAAATAAACACAGATCTTTTATTAACTAAATTACTTGTTTATGTATATTTTAACTTATCTACTACTTAACACCTATCAGAAAATAGTTTTAGTAGGCTAAAAATAGAATTTAACATTTAGCCCCAGCCATTTAACTTTTCGCCCCAGCATGGGGCGAAAAGTTAAGAAAAACAAAATTTTCAAAAAAGGACAAAACATGTATTTTATGCGAAAATATCAGAAACTTTTTTATTGAAAGTTGTAGGGGACAAGTTGTCCTACAATATTGATATATAAATATTTGCATCTAAGCAGATTATATTGTCTAAACAAATCATTTATGCAAAATTTAACTTTTCGCCCCAGTCTCCCCTAATCATTATAAATATTTTTAAATAATGTACTTATTTTAGTTTATTATTTTTTATAATTTGTTATTACATTTAAGCAATTAAAAATTATTTTTGAAACATTTAGGGGAGGGTAGGCTACATTGAACCATTTTTTTTACAAAGTCCAAGAACTAATTAAATTTTACTAATTTTGATCAGGTTTTTGTATCAAAATTAAACTGAAGTAATCCTTTAGTTAATACACACGTTACAAACACAAATTATTATGATTAAATAATTAAATTTAATTTTTTTCTAACAAGTTACACTTTTCTTATTTTGAAGGATCTGTGTCTACATTGAACCTCCTCCAATAAAACACTACAATTTACTTCAAAAATAATATTTCCACTTACACATTGTAAAAAATCTTATTTTTTACTCAAAAAAATAGAAAATTATTGTTAAATAGTTATTATTTGTTAATATAGGAGATTAATATATTTCGATGTCAGATTGAGTAGCAAAAGTGACAGTTTAAGTTTATCCCGTTGACAATTGTGATGAAAGCATGTCTTCCAGTATTTTTCTTACTAATTAGTAGAGCAGACAACTTTACAACACTTAAAATTGAAAATTCTTTGCTTTTTCGGGTGGTTCAATGATGCTGCACTCACTGTATTTACATGACATTCACAAAAAAAATTGTTTATAATAAATTTATGTAAGAGTTAAAATTCTTTATTACATCGGAATATTGAAGTTGATACCCAAAGCAAAATAAATCACAAGTTTACTAATTTTTAAAACTTCCTATTTCAAAAAAAAACTTGATTATATTTCCACAAAATTTTTTGTTTTGTACGTGAAAAACAGTTTTTTTTAGTTTTTTTATAAATAATAAACCTACGTGCCCGAAATTTTTGGACATAATTTGTTTCGGTAAAACTAACTTATATATTAAATAAGAAAAAATTTCACTCAGTCATTTCTTAAAAAATTAAAGTGGTTCACTGTTGACGCTGGTTCAATGTGGCCTACTCTCCCCTACTCTTATGGTGGTAAATTTTAGTTTAGGTTTCTAATCTCAAAAGAAATGCTAAATAATTTAATAATTTTTATACTTTATAATTTTAATTGTAATAAATTATTTTATAATGTAAGTGTAATATTTTAAGTGAAATTAAAAATGTTTTAATTTAAAATTGAAATTTTAATTAGGTATATATGATTAAAAACATTTTTTAGTTCGAAATTTTTGTTTTTGAGATAACCTAATATATTTATTAGGGGAGAGTTGTCAGAGTTGGACAGGGTTTAGGGTTGGGCCACCGCGTTTATTTCATTTTATTACACTAGCGCCATCTTTGTACGTAAATCCTTGCTACTAAGTGTCAGCCATCTTTTCATATGAATCGCAGTTAAGTATACGAACCTATACTTGACCAGCGTACCAATTTGTGATATAGGCTCAAAGAAAATCTTGATTATTAAAGGCTTTGCTATGGTCGGTACCTTGGAAAAGAAAAAATGAATTTTTTTAGCAAAATGGCGACGATTTAAAAAAATTGTGTTTTTTCATTCTGTTTTTTAACTTTTTTGAATTTTTTAAAAATAGTAAAAAAAATATTTTTCAAAATCCAAGATTCCGACCATAAAGAGATATACAAAGAACATTTCTGCAAAATTTGAAGTAAATCGGTTGATTAAATTTTGAGTTATCGTGTCAACAATAATTTTTTTCAATTTCCACTTCACCAGTTCATAACTTTTAAAATTTATGATTATTTTTTTTCCTAATTTTTTTCTGTATTCTTTGAACATTAATAAACAACTTGCAAAAATAGTAAATATTAAAAATGTTAAACTTTCTTTCTTATCCCACTCGGAAAAACGCCTTAAAATTGAGGCCTCTAGACAGTTAAATTAACTATAGAAACAGAATCACATTAAAATATTTTTTAACCTTCATAGAGACGTTTTTGATATCTATTAAGATCTACTCAGCTTTTTATCATTTTAATTATATATAAGTTTTTTCTAACAAGTTAAGCTCATTTATTAGAAAAAGTAATTTGAAATTTTATTGAGATTTAATAAAAATTTAAGGAAGTTGTAATGATTGGGTTTTATTTGCTGGGAATTCGCTCGCCGGATGGAGTCCGGGTTCCCTTAAATATTAATTAAATAAATAATTAACCATAGTTAATGGCGTGAAGCGCCATCTAAGAATTGATTTGCTGTAATTTCGAGGAGAGGTGTAGTCAATAATGAGACAATTAATTAAACCTTCGTAAGATAAATATATTGTAACAAAATAAAGAATAAAAGGTTTAAAACAAAATTAACAAAGTAAAATGAAATAAGAATAAAATAAATGAAAAATAACAAAATAGTAACGTAGCCTAATATAAAGAATATAAAACAAAAAAACTAAAATATAAAATAATAATCGTTGTAAAAGAATAACAATAATAAGAAAATAATAATAACAAATGTCTCGCCTCGTGTCGCTTTACCCCGAAGTGACTTCCCCCTGACTTGCAGGTTTTACACCCAAGTTCTCTCGCCTGAAAATAAAATAAAAGAAACCATTGCTTAGCTAAGCTCAAGATATTGAATTTCCCTACGCGGAACTAATCTAGAATTCGCCCCATTGCCCAACGTGACAAACGCGACTAGTACGTGCACTCTGAGGGAGTGGCCTGACTGGTAACCGAGTGACCAACTCCAATGTCGGTACGCTGCCGACATTCTTGCTTGACGCGCAGGGGTTGCGAAAGGAAACTCAACGGACGACTTCTTATCCAGGGTGCTCCCTGAGGGAAGAAATCGTCTCCGTCGCTTAGCCTCAGGTGTAATATGAGCTCCTATATACACCTGGGGGGCAGAGTTTCAGGTTGCAGGTGTCACCCTCTACCACGAGGTCCTCTCGTGAGAGCTCCCGCAGGGAGGTCCAAGTAGTAGAGTGCATTGGTCTCCGCATCTTCTCGTGAGAGCTCCCGCAGGGAAGTCGCAGAGACCAGGTCGAGAGAATGAAGGTGTTCACCTTAGCATGGGTGCTCCCATAACCAGGTGTACTTAACCTTTCTCATCGATAGCTTCACCAAGAGCCCCTTGAGTGAAGGTATCGATGTATTAGGAGGAGTGAGTTCGAAGCCCGCCCTTACCCGAAGTGCTCCTCGAGGCGTCGAGCCACGAACTGAAAATTGAGAATCGTGCAACGAGAGATATAGAAAGACGGCTACCGAGAGTGCGGTGACGGTGCGGGAAGGGGAGTCAGCGACGCAAGGCTTGTGCGCGTACGTGTCTCTCCTTCACGCTGCCGAGTGCACTGGTACCGCTGCATTTTATATGCGCGTACGCTATCGTTACAAAGTTTTCTAAAATAATTAAAGTTTAATTCTAGAACTATACAAAATAATTCGATCGTAATGGAAACTCTGACAAATAAAATTTTTATTATAAAAAATGTAATATTATTAAAATTTATTTAAATGAATGTTATACTAAATAAAAATTCACAAAAAGAAATTTTGATTAAAGAAAACTTCTAACATATAAAATTATGCATTTCGAAAATGGGGACTAACCAGGGCCTAGACTTTTCCACGTTTAAATAAAGTTTAAATAACTTAAGGGTAGATTACTCTAATTTTAATGTTTTTTCAAAGATTTTTTTTTAGAAAGTCGTCTTCTCTAAAAGTTTTTCACAGTTTTTCTCTGCAACGGTTAATCCGAAATAAAAAATTGAGAAGTTTCTTAATCTATACCATTTTGGCTATCGTGTAAACTAGAATTATAAATATTTATTGAAAAATAACCGGATGACAGACTTTTGAATTTTTCAACCATACTTTTGCAACTCAAATTGTTTATAACTTTCTTAAATATTAATGAATCTTAAAAATCCTAGTTTTCACGAAAACTACACATGCAAGGAGCATGCTGTCCAAAATTCAAGTTATTTAATTGAATAGTATCAAACTAAGAGTGTAAGCAAGTTCAAAATATGCAGTTTCGAGAAAAACGCATTTAAACTTTGAAGGACCAAATATACTAAAATTTAACTTAAAGTTATATACTAGACCTATTATATACATAACGTTTGTTTTTACTTAAATTTAACTTAAAGTTATATACTAGACCTATTATATACATAACGTTTGGCATGTAACAATAGACATTTCTTATAGTTTAAGAACGGTGGGGGGTCAATTTCCCCAAAAAAATTTTTCCCAACAAAAAATTTTCCCAAGTAAATCATTTTTCCCAAAAAAAAATAATCCAACATTGTCCACCAATCTGTTCGAACTAGAATTTATTAAAAAAAAATTTCAAACTAGAATTTACTCAAACTATTATTTTTTCAAATTACAATTTATTCAAATTTTTTCAAAAAAAAAATTATTGTAACTATTATTTTTTCGAAATAGAATTTACTCAAACTATATTATTTTTTCAAACTAGAATTTATTGAAATTAGTTTCTTTTCGAAATTTGAAACTATTAATTTGTCGAACTAGAATTTATTCAAACTAGAATTTTTTTAAACTATTATTTTTTCAAACTACAATTTATTAAAAGTATTTTTTTTAAACAAAAATTTATTGAAACTATTATTTCTTCGAAATAAAATTTACTCAAATTATTGTTTTTTTCGAAATAGAATTTATTAGTAGAAGTAGAAAACTATTATTAGTACGAAGTAGAATTTATTCAAATATTTTTTCAAACTAGAATTTACTCAAACTATTATTTTTTCAAACTTGTTACGTATTTACAATCACTTGGACATTATGTTCGAATGTGATTATTTACTACTAATTTGGCAACAAATATACATTTTGGAAAAAATATAACATTGGGAAAATTTTTTAGCAAATCCAGCATTGGGAAAAAAATATTTTGGGATAAACTGTTTTGGGAAAAGTTTTTTTTTGGGAAACGGATTTTGGGAAAATTGTCCACCAATCTTTAAGAACTACTCTTTTAAGCGGTGTACCAGGAAAAACTGTAAATTGAAAAATAAACAAATTGTAGTTAGGTAGTTAATTAACAAAAACACGAAATTTCGAGGTTGGAGAGGAATGCTTTTTCTACCCTCCTGCTCGCGAGACTGTTTTTTCCCGTATCCTTAGATAATTATACTCCAAAAATGAAAAAAAAAGAAACATCAATTATTTAAAAAAATCAGTGTAATCTCCCCTTAAATTGTTAAAATTCCTTTTCATAGAAAAGTTATTAACAATGGAAGAGAACCATTGTTTATTACTGTTTTAATATATTTTTTTATTTTGTAGGTTTCATCAGAATTTAGTAATCTTTATTGTTACTAGTTGTAAAATAATTGTCTAAAATATTTTTTACTAATAATGAAATCGCATATACATATATGGACTAATAAATAACATAATTTAGAATCTCACAAAATAGGGTAGTTTAAAGGAAAACTCAAAGGACGTGACCAGTTTTTCCCTAAATAGGGCATTGGTAGTGAACAGCGTCACACACTAGTCGGGCACTTGTTAGTTTTTGTGCCCGGAGTCAAAACTTGATATTACATTTAATATTAATTCTAAAATTTTTTTAAATGTATAATAAAATATACCTTTTATTTTAGACGCCACATCTTGTTCATACTCCTCATCACTTTCTATAACTATCGGCGCATCTAAATTAAGGTTTATATAATTTAATTATAACACAATTTTTTATATAATAGATTCATATAATTAAATATAATTTTAGAATCTACTGTGATTTCAAGACAATGAAAATTTTTTTTTTATTTGAGACAGTTTAGAAGAAATGTCCGAATCAATATATTATATATTAACTATTTATTTTTTTTTTAAATTACCTGACAATTTCTCCCTTTTTGTATTCAGGAAATTAGTCAAACTTTTCCTTTTAGTCGCACTCTGCTTTTTGGAGGGTTCAGCTGAATCATCTAAAATATATATTAATATTAAAAATAATAATTAATATTATATTAAAAATATAAGAAAAAATTTTAAATATCACATTATTATTAGCTCATTTGAAGAAAATTGATTTACGACCCATAAATAAGTAAATAAGGTGCCATGTGGTTACTGGGACATGGGATGTCTTTAGGACTTCCTTAAGATGTCTATGTTCGTTCCACAAGATACTTACTATTATAACCCAGATCAATAAAAAAAGACTTACACAGAAAAAAACCCGACTCACTTTTGTTGCAACGCATTTGGAAGTCAGTCTCGAAATGAGTAATCGGCAACTTCAAGTAACTCAAAATAGAAAAAATGTCAGGTTCTAGTTTTTGTGTGTGTGTTATGTTGGCAACAACTATAGAAAATGTCTGCTGCGCGTTGCGCCGTTACTTTTCTTGTGTTTCGCATGTTTCGTGTTATATGGTTGCCATCCCTGTCAGTCAATTCACAAGTGACTAACCTAAAAATTTGCTTTTTATTTCTCATAAATGCAATAAATCGACTCCAAGTATTAATGTTTTGACAAGTGCAACGTAAACACGTTGCACTTGTCAAAACATTAATACAAAACATTATATAAATAAACATTCATTATATACAATTATTTTAATTCATATTTTTATGAATTATTCCCAGTTATTCCAATGTTATTGTAATTTTTTCATAAACTCAAAATGATCCAGATTTTACTCATTTTGAGTATTTTCCCCAGAAACTCAGAATGAGTCGAAGGGGTATCATTTTTGTTGCAGTTCAAAATGAGTATCATATCATACTCATTTTGAGTAAAGTTTTTTTCTGTGTACTTTTTTATGAGAAAGCGGAATGGTTTCCTATGTATTTTTGGACGCTGAACACGATCCCGAATTCCAAAATTGCCCATCACGTTAGGAATTTGAGAAAAGTGGGGCTAAAGACCCCAAAAACGCTTTTTTGGGGATTTTCACAACTTTTTTTTTCTTTAACCTAACGTGTCTTAAATTAAAGCTTGTAATGTGAATTACAAGACCCATATCGATAAAATAAAAAAAAATGATTTTTTTAAAAAATGGGGTTGAAGACAGCAAAAATGTGTTTTTGAATTGCTTTAATAGACTTCTTGCAATTGCTTGGATTCGCTTGAAAATGGTTACTCGGGGTTTTTAGGGTCGCTGATTTCGAATCCGATATTAGTTTTCAAAAATTCATACTGGTGGATTCGTAATCAGCGACCCCAAAAACCCTGGAGTAACAATTTTCAAGCGAATCCAAGCAATTCTTAATTTTTACATCTGACATCTTTGTTCCACCATTTTAAATTTTTGAAAACTAATATCGTATTCGTAATCAGCGACCCCAAAAACACCGAGAAACCATTTTCAAGCAAATCCAAGCAATTGCAAGATGTCTATAAAAGCAATCCAAAAACACACATTTTTAGTGTCTTCAACCCCATTTTTTGAAAAAAATTTCATTTTTTTTTTATTTTATGGATATGGGTCTTGTAGTGCACATTACAAGCTTTAATTTAAGACCTTGTGGAAGTCTCTCTCAGGTAAAAGAAAATTTTTTTTTTTGAAAATCCGCAAAAAAGCGTTTTTGGGGTCTTTACCCCCACTTTTCTCAAAATCCTGACGTGATGGACAATTTTGGAAGTCCGGATCGTGTTCAGCGTCCAAAAATACATCGGAAACCATTTCGCTATCTTATAACAAATGTAAGTCTTTTTTTGTTGACCTGTGTAATTAATAGAATATCTGGCACTATTTCATTAATACAAAAATACTAATTGAAATTTAGAAAATACAATATATTTTTCGTCGTCTTTTTCAATTTTTAATTATACAACACTATTTATAGGTATTGATAAGAAAGGCATGAAAAAAAATTAAACAAATTATTAATAATAATTATACTACCTTTAATGTCAATCTGCTTTGATGTTCCTATAACCACCTTTTCTTCCTCTGTTTTGAAGGATTCAAAATCGATACTGCCTCTGCAAAATCCATTTAATAAAATAAAATATAATTTTATCTGCATTAAAATGCATATTGTAAATTAAATTGCATTGTGTGTTTATAAAAAATTAATTTTTAGCAGAGGTATAATAACTTGTTGCATTGTAGGACTTATACACAATGTTATTTACATTTTTCCCAAACAAGACAAAAATTTAACTATAAATTTAATTATAATTAAAAATTAAAAAGAAAAAAGAAGAAATAAAAAAATATTAAATTTGGAAAAAAATTCCTCTTTTTACTTTACTAATAAATTGGTATAATTTCTATTTTTAAAAAATTGTTCTTGTTTTCTAGTAGAAAAAAAAGTTTGTACTTGCAATAAAAACAGAACTTTAGACTTTAAACATGTTTTTCTAGAACCTCTAAAATTGTACATTTTTATCCCCTGTTATTTTCTTAAAAACACATTAAATTTTAATGTACATATGAATTAAATATTAAATTAATATTTACTCTTTCAAATCTCCATCTTCCAAATTCTCGGAACTGTCTAAGGCAATCTGAAAAAGTTAAGAGAATAATTATTCAAAAACTTAATTGAGCGTCTGGATCGAATAATCCGCTCTCCGCTCGACTGTATGCTTACAAGCCAGTCAAACATACCAAAGTGGTCTAAAAATTGAAATTCAAAATTTTAATTTTTGAAACATACATTCTTGTAGGAAATTGAATGACGCATATTTTTTTCCTTTAAAATTTTTTTGTAGAACAAATATTTTTGAAGATAATGACCAAAAACTGAAAATTTTAAACTTATGAAATTAATTAAATTTTAAAACATAAATCATCATATCTTTGGTAATTATGATTGGATTTAAATGAAATTTGGCATACACCTTCTTTTGGGTTAAGAGAAGGCAACGACAAAATCAAAAATCAAAAAAGCATCAATTGTTTAACAATTTTGCTTTGTTAATTGAGAGAGGTTAGAAATTCTACTTTCTCAACTTTGCTGATAAAAAGTCTGCGGGGAATTTTATAATGCAGAAAACTTCCAGTGAGACATTTGTTTATTGCCATTCAAGAAAGTTTTTTGCAAAATTTCAAAAAGATTTGTTAAAAACTAACAAAAATATGAATAAATTAAAAAAATGCGCTCGGCGTTAAACACAGCCACGTCAACCCTATATACACACAAATGTATACAGCTTCTGTTTTTTCTTCATAAATACAAAATTTCAATGAAAACAATAACAATTGAACCATTTATTAATTTAACAATTACTTAATAAAAAAATTAATGTAAAAACAAATATAATATAATTATTAAGGATTGTTAAATTAATAAATGGTTCAATTGCTATTGTTTTCAATGAAATTTTGTATTTATGAAGAAAAAACAGAAGCTTTATACATTTGTGTGTATATAGGGTTGACGTGGCTATGTTTAACGCCGAGCGCATTTTTTAAATTTATTCATAGTTTCGTTAGTTTTTAACAAATCTTTTTGAAATTTTGCAAAAAACTTCCTTGAATGGCAATAAACAAATGTCTCACTGGAAGTTTTCTGCATTATAAAATTCCCCGCAGACTTTTTATCAGCAAAGTTGAGAAAGTAGAATTTCTAACCTCTCTCAATTAACAATGCAAAATTGTTAAACAATTGATGCTTTTTTGATTTTTGATTTTGTCATTGCCTTCTCTCAACCCAAAAAAAGGTGTTTGCCAAATTTCATTTAAATCCAATAATAATTACCAAAGATATGATGATTTATGTTTTAAAATTTAATTAATTTCATAAGTTTAAAATTTTCAGTTTTTGGTCATTGTCTTCAAAAATAATTGTTCTACAAAAAAATTTTAAAGGAAAAAAAGATGCGCCATTCAATTTCCTACAAGAATGTATGTTTCAAAAATTAAAATTTTGAATTTCAATTTTTAGACCACTTTGGTATGTTTGACTGGCTTGTAAGCATACAGTCGAGCGGAGAGCGGATTATTCGATCCAGACGCTCAATTGCTCGTATGCCAAACTTTTAAAAGAAGAAATATTTCTATTCTATTCTTCTATTTTCGGAAAGGTGATGAGGCCTAAACGAAAACGTAACTTAGGCCAATACATATACCATTGTGTCAAGTAGGGGAGACCGGGGTTACTTGGCGCACTTTTTACTCTTTGTTGTTTAACTAAAACATTTTTGCTTTTTTTAAATTCCTATTGCACGGAAAACTTACTGTAACATCTCAGCTTCAATTTAAAACAAAAAAAAAATTGCAATCTATTTGATAGTTTTTTTTTATACCACTTTATTCAAAGCTATGTAAAGTGCGCCAAGCAACCCCGGGCCGGGGTTGCCTGGCGCATGATTGAAATTAATTAAATTATACGATTTAAAGTTGAAACATTATATGATATAGTAAAATAAGTTTTTTACTGTCACTTTACAATAAAAAAATTTAAAAAAGGATCATATTTAATTACAATTAAGAACATTTTTTGTGTAATCGTAAAATTATAGAAAACTTTTATAAAATATATGCTGTAAATTTTTAAAAAACGCACCCTTCACTAAAATTTTTAAACAAAATAATTATATTTATAATAATTTATAAAATTGTAACATTTGAGATTTTTTATGGTATATAACACTGTGGATGTAGTAGATTAGAACCGCGCCAAGTAACCCCGGAGGTACTTTTTATATATTTATAAAGTTTTTATTAATAACATTAATAAAAATCAAAGATTCTTTATTGTCCCTAGAAAACAAATAGTTAGAGCTCAAAACTTGATATTTGAGCTTTATTTTAAATCATTTCCTAAAAAGATATAACAAAAAAATGAGGTCAAAAATTTACTTTCGAGTACCAAAATCAATTATTTTAATCTATACGCCACAATAATTAATGAATGAAAATGAAACTTTGTACAAACTTAGTGTTCATTAAGTACTTGAACTTCCTAGTAAAAAAAACTAATTCAAATGAATTGAAACGAATTAACATTTTTGGTAGGCTCCAATTCGTATTTGTCACAAAGCGGGATTCACTTAAGCTCTTTGTATATTCAATTGAATTTAATTCAATATGTACCAATTTGTCCAAACGAATTCGCATTCGAAAGAAATGGCCAAGGAATGCATTGAATTCGTGCTAAGGAATTGAAAAAAATTAAAGGCTCAAAACTTGTCCAGTGAATTGGTACGGATAGAAGGTTCGGAAGTTCAATACAGTTTCACGAATTCGGGAAAATTGCATCATGGCTCCAATTCGTATTTGTCACAAAGCGGGATTCACGAAAGCTCTTTGTGAATTCTTTTTAATTCATTTCAATTTGTTTTCGTTTACTGGGTTGAGTGGAGAGAAAAAATTATTCAACTCAAAATTTTTGAAAAAACTCGAGTGCGCCAAGCAACCCCTGCGGCATGTAACCCCGGTCTCCCCTATTAAACACATTACTTTAAAACTGACAGATAATACCTGTGTTCAAAATGATCCTAGTACAATACTCATTTTGATAATCCTCATGTTTCATTTTAATCAAATAATTAAAAGAAAATCTTTTAATGAATAATAAATAATTTTTTAATAAATAAACCACTCAAACTTTTGTTTACATAGAAGAATCATATAGCAAATAAGGTATGCTATCTGCAGGATTACTACCAATTTAATAAACGTAAAATCTGTTAACTCATTTTGACAGAGAATTCAAAGTTATAAGCAGCAAGAATGAATTCAGATTTTCTCTGCATCGTATATTAAAAGTAAAAAGAATAGAGAATAACAAATAATTAATTTTTGTAAGCATAATTTGATTGGTTAAAAAACAAAAAATTCCCTATAACTACAAATAAGTATGAATAGTACAAAATATGGAATACTTTTTTTTCCTTTTCGTCTGCTTTAACTTTTTTCTTAATTCCTCTTTCAGAAATTTTAAGGCCAAATGATGAACTTGGAATTATTTTCTCAACCATTATTTTTTCGGCATTAGTCAACTTTACTAAATAAATTTCTTTTTCGTCTTCCATGATTTGTTTTCGTCGTAAGGTTTCCTTCTCAATAGTCAGCCTTTTAAAATCACTCCAGCTCTAATTTAAAATTTAATTAATTAATTTTAATTTAATAATTTGTTTATTAATTTTGAAAATTGGTGAAGTCCGCGTCAAATCGACCAAGATTTTTTTGATCGAATAAGGTTTGGCTATAAATTGGCTTAAATAATACTACTATAGTGACATAAATTATCAACAAATTATTTTCAAAATTTTAAAAAATGGCGAAAATACGGGACTTTTTAGTTTTAAACAATATTTTTTAGAAACGCTATAACTTGAGTTCTAATTGTTCGATTTTTATTTCAAGGTATCAAAAAATTTGTCTATAGATAGACTATCAAAAAATTTTTTTTTTATTTTCGTTTTTAAAAATTTTGTAAACAGAATTATTTTGATTTTCGTTTTTGAAAATACGTCATTTTTAATTTTTAAAATTTTGTTGTCAAAAGAAGCAACAAGTGTGATTTACAAGTCCTACAAATTTCATCGTGGAACCGTTAGTAGTTTCCGAGAAAAAAAACTGAAATGTAAATTCGGTTCACATTGACAGTACCTACATAATGGCGTGTAACACTATAGGTTTCGTTCAAATGACTTAATTTTCGATATTAAAGTGTCAAGACATTTGTTTTTAGATATACGATGTAAAAAAATTGATCTATAAAAATAATTTATAATTAAAAAAATAGATTCTTTTTAGTTCTTTAAATATTTTTTTAAAAAAGAAGTTCTTATAAATATTTATACCATAAAAAACAATCTACTTTTAAAAAGGAAAAAAAAAGTTTCAAAAATTATCAAAAAAAAATTTGAAAATTAATAATTATAAAAAAATTGGCAATCTTCTTGGGACTATAATAAAACATTAAGACATTTTAACGTTTCGAGATCGGTACTGACCCTCTCATCAGAATTTATTAATCAGATAATTCTGGATTACATATTTAAAGGGTTCTTTTTCGAAGTAAGAATTAAGAAAATGATTGTGATAAAATGATGGTTACTGTTAATTATCTTTTTAAGATTTGTATGAAATCTATTTGTACAGTCAATGATGTGTTTTTTTGAAGCTGAAGGTTATTTTTCAATTTTATTTAAAAATTTTTTGACTTTTAAAGGACTCCGGACAAAAAGTACATAATTTGGTTCCCGGTCAAATTTATTTTGGATTTATGTTTGAGTTGAAGTAATTTTGAACAAACATAACCAAAAAATACTAACAAATTTGACCGGGATCCAATTTATGCACTTTTTGTGCGTTACCCTTTTTATGATAATTAACAGTGACCATCATTTTTTCACAATCATTTTCTTGATTCTTACTTCGTAAAAAAACCTTTTTAAATATGTAATCCAGAATTAACTGATTAATAAATTTTGATGAAAGGGTCAGTACCGATCTCGAAACGTTAAGATGTGTTAATGTCTTATTATAGTCCCAAAAAGATTGCCAATTCTTTTTTATAATTATTAATTTTCAAAATTTTTTTTGATAATTTTTGAAACTTATTTTTTTTTCTTTTTGAAAATAGATTGTTTTTTATGGTTTAAATATTTATAAGGACTTCTTTTTTAAAAAAATATTTTAAGAATTAAAAAGAATCTATTTGCAAAAAGAAAAAATTATTTTTATAGATCAATTTTTTTACATCGTATATCTTGACACTTTAATATCGAATTGTCAATTTTCCGAAAAGTCATTTTTGCGAATCGCCATTTTTACGAATTGTCAAATTTCCGAAAAGTCATTTTTGCGAATTGTCATTTTTGCGAAAAATACAATAGAAAACTTGTAGGTCTATAAATTCACTATTGTATTTTTCGTAAAAATGACAATTCGCAAAAATGACTTTTCGGAAAATTGACAATTCGTAAAAATGGCGATTCGCAAAAATGACTTTTCGGAAAATTGACAATTCGTAAAAATGTCAATTCGCAATAATCACAATTCGCAAAAATAGCTTTTCGCAAAAATGACAATTCGCAAAAGTGACATTTCGCAAAATTGGCTTTTCGCAAAAATGACTATTCGCAAAAGTGCAGTTCGGTAAAATGACATTTCGGAAAAATGACAATTCGCAAAAATGGCAATTCGTAAAAATGACTTTTCGTAAAAATGACTTTTCGCAAAAATGGCTTTTCGCAAAAATGACATTTCACAAAAATGTCTTTTCGTAAAAATGACAATTCGCAAAAATGAGTTTTCGAAAAATTGACAAATCGTAAAAATGGCGATGCGCAAAAATGACTTTTCGGAAAATTGACAATTCGTAAAAATGGCCATTCGCAAAAATGATAATTCGCAAAAATAGCTTTTCGCAAAAATGACAATTCGCAAAAGTGACATTTCGCAAAATTGGCTTTTCGCAAAAATGACTATTCGCAAAAGTGACATTTCGCAAAATTGGCTTTTCGCAAAAATGACTATTCGCAAAAGTGCAGTTCGGTAAAATGACATTTCGGAAAAATGACATTTGGGGAATAATCATGCGTCCCAGAAAGTTAAAAACTGGTACTCAATTTTTTACCTAAATAGCTAAAAATTTGCATACTTATCTATTTTCACGTATAGATTTCAGAAAAAATTTTGCAAAAATTATTAGAACTGATCTTTATGGTGTTTTCAGCGATAAATTAAAATCTCTTTTTACATGCTTAAAAATACTTTTACCCCTGCTGGTGCACACAATTATAAATTTGTGGAATGGCCTTACTCATTATTATGTATTTTGATGTATAGATTAAAAAATAAAGAAAAAATGATTAAAGTTAATCTTTACAGTGTTTTCCGCGAAAAATTAAAAATTTATAAATAATTTCTTAAAATTTAGTCTTTTTTAGCGCTAACCTTTCTCCAAGCAGACATAGTCTTCACCGCTCCATTTTCCACGTTGTTTAATAGCTCCGTCATTGTTTCATATAGCTCGTCCTGTATATAAAAATCCAAGATTAATGAAAAATATTCGTATTAAATTAAAGTAGAAAACTGAAGCTCCTGATCTTAAAAGGGCACTTTTACCATTTAAACTAAATTCTGAAAGTGCCCTTTTAAGATCCGAGACCTCATTATAAGATAAAAATCGCTTAACAATTAAAAAAGAACGTTTAATTATTCATAGCTATATTTTATTGAGCTAATAAAAAAAACATAATTATTAAAAGATTTAGTTTACCAATTTCGTTAATAATCAAAAATTTTCGCTGGCAAAAATTTTATTGCCAAGACAAGTTGGAGGCCGTGCAAAAACTACGTCCCGCCTCAAAGGGGTGGATTAGTTCAGCGTGATGTTTTTGTAGAAAAAATGTAACCAAAGTATGTAAAATTTATAACGTAAAGAGAGGATGGAAAAAAGTTCAAAAAAGCGTAACGTAGTTTATAAACCAGGGTGGTCACAAGTTTTAGTTAATAAATTTCTCTGCCACTTTACTGATATTAAAATTATGTTACCTGACAAAATTCTTTTTGAATTTTAATAATTTCTAAAAATTATAATTTGAAAAAATTAGAAACTAATTATTTTGAAGTTTACATTTAATTTTAATTTAAAACACTCAAATAGCATATTAAGCAACAAGGGTATAAAGGCAGCTATTTGTTTACGTAGACGCCCCGAAACCTCCACTCGTGTCACAAAAATTATCGTAATAAAAATAATCTCAAAATTATATTATTTCTAAAATTCAAGAAATATAGAATTTAATATTCAATTACTATATAAAATTGTAACTGAAATTCATTTTTAAATCAAATTTAATTAGAATATTCTACGAGAATTCAATTATTTAAATACAAAAATAATTTATTGAATAATTGAATGCTTCTTAAAATTCAATTCCTTTAAATTTTAAAAACATTTTTTTAAATAATTGATTTCTTTCGACGAATTTTAATAAAATTTTGAAGAATAATTACAGTTTTTGAGAAATTTAATAAAATTGTATTAAAAACAATTTAAATTCTGTGCCGATTTTTATTATTAGTAAAAAAAATTGAACCCCTAAGAAAAATTTTATTATTTTTGAACAAATTTTAATTTTTGCGGAGAATATTAGTACTCTTGAAAATAATTGAATTTCTACAATTATTTTCTATCCTTTTCAAAATTAAATTGTTTCTTTTTGTTTTTATCTAAAATTCTTCTATAACTAAATTATTTTTAATAATTTTTGAAAAAGTACTTTGAGTACTTTCAAATTTATTTCTTTAGAATTCAATTTTATAAAATTTAGATTAATCAGAAATTCTTCAATTCAATATTTGAAAAATAAAAGCTTGTAATAATTTTAAAAACGACGTTCAATTAAAATTTTTCAAAAAACATTAATTCCACAGAATTGTCAGTTAAAAGTATGAAATTTTTAATTTTTATATGATTTCAATTTGAAACCTTTTCAAAATTCAATTATTTCTATGAATTCACGATATAATTCTTTTATTATTCAATTATTATCTAAATTTTTAACTGAAATTCATTTTTAAATCAATTGTATTAGAATTCAATTATTTAAATACAAAAAAGAGAATTTATTAAATAGTGGCACGTTTTTAAAATTGAGTTCTCATAAAGAATTTTATTATCAAATGTTTAAATAATTTAATTCTTTTGAAAATTTTTAATAAAATTTGTAAAAAATTCGATTACAATTTTATTAAAAATACTTAAAAATCTGCAATGAGTTTTATTATTTAAGAAAATAATTTAATATTGATTGGGAAGAAATTTATAAAATATTTGTAAATAATTGAATTCCTGTAAAGTTTTTATTATTTTATGATAAGAATTAAAGAATGGAGTTTAATTAATTTTATTAAATTGTTTTTTAAAAATTGAATTTTTTTGGGAAAGTTTATTAAAATAGTAAATATTAAAAATAAATATTAAAAATCAATTGAGGAAAATTTTTGAAAATAATTGAAATTTTTTCAAGAATATTATTAAAATTTTAGGAAATAAATGAATCACCAAAACGGAGGAAAAAGGTGACAAATTATCAAAAAGATGTCAAAATTGAAAAAAGATAAAAAAACGAAAAACTTACCGACTCTTGTTTATAACTGGATCCTGACATCCTGCCTTGTGCTAAGTCCTTATGACTTAGCATAAAGGCCAGCATCATGTCCTTCTGCTCAAGCGTGATATGCTTTTTATTTAATTTAGGCATACTTAATTTCAAAATCCTTCAACAAATGTCACCAATATCGACTCGACTAAAAACAAAAAACAGTGAAAACCACAAATAACCATTGCGCATACTCTACCACAGAGATTAAAGGTTAGGTCATACGTACGTCAGTATATACATACCGTTCACACTTCTGATCCTCCACATAAAGGCCTTTCTCCAATAGGTTCCCAAAACTCTGCGTTGCGTCGATTGCTAAAGTCCAACGCACAATAGATTCGCGAACGAGACGCATGAGATAGACAAGGACACAAATATATCTCTGTCCTTTTCTAACTCATGCTTTGCGTTCGCGAAAGTCGTTCGCGAACGCAAAGCTTGAGTTAGAAAATGACAGAGATATATTTGTGTCCTTGTCTATCTCATGCGTCTCGTTCGCGAACGACTTTCGCGAACCTATTGTGCGTTGGACTTTAAGGCAACATACACTGTAAGAAATTCTTATTGAAATTTCAATCGTACCTCGATTGACATAAAATTACAATGGACCCTCGGATGAATTTTACATTTTTGATTATAAAATTCCCATCTGACATGAAAATTCAACAGAAAACTATGTGCTCAACATAACCTTAAAATTTATTTTATTAACTTTTTTTTCTTGCAAGTTTATAATATATCTGTTAATTTTTTTAGATAATTATTGGAAAGTGTTCAAGTTATAAAAATGAATACTTTTTTTTATAATGAAGTTAATGATATCTATGTTTAAAATAGAATAATATCTTTTTTCGAAATAAAATTTTTAAGTGAAATAAAATTAAACAAATATGTTGAACTTTCACACTCTCGGTAAAATTACACAGACTACCGAGTGAAATTTCACTAGACTGTCGATTGAAAATTTCAAAAAGACTATGAAAATTCATACGTGGTTCCGTTGTAATTTTATGTCAATCGACCGACACTCGTATGAAAATTCAATAAATGCTTGAAAGTTACATGGACTGACCATTTAAATTTCATTAATTCTGTTATTTTCATACACATTTCATGGAATATTCAATATGGATTTTTTACAGTGTATGCTAAAATCAACGCAACGCAGTCATTCGCCAGACAAACGCAGTTTTGGGAACCTATTGGAGAAAGGCCTTTAGGCTGGAGTCCCATGACAGCGGCCTTAGGATGTTTCACTCAGGGTTGCGCAAGTAATATACGTCACGTTATATTCATGGTCTTTTCTACGTATATTACGTATGTAAATTACCTCAAGAATTTAAAATACAATGCATTTTCTTATGGTGGGGGGTATCCTTTCTAAAAAAATGCAAAGCAGAAAAAGCTCGAATTGAAAAAAGTCGAACTCGAAAAGTATCGGAAGCAAGAAATAATAGAGAATAAAAAAGAACATAGAAAGCGCACCTCACGCTCTAAATGTAAACGAAATAGATAGAGCTGTCTTGGGTTTGTCTGGTTTATCTCAAGAAAAATTTATAAATAAAATGATTTTATTTATAAATAAAATGAAATCATAAATAAAAAAAGAAGGATATCAAATAATAAAAATATAATAATTAAAAATATAAAATAAAATTTAATTAAAAATTAAAATAGAATTAAGAATAAAGCAGCAACAAAGTCGACCGCCAAGCGGTCGACGAGGGCTCTGGTTTTATATAAAAAATTATTAAATTAAAAAACTGAACATTAGAACTTTTAAAAATTGAACAAAAATGAAGAAGGAATAGAAGCAACGAAGACGGCCGAAGGCCGTCTAAGGCGCTAGTAATATATATTTTACAAATGTAAAAAACCATGTAATTTACGTGAAAAATTCTCTAGAGTTACGCGTAACTGCGCAACCCTGGTTTCACTACATCGACATATTTCGAGTTTGAGAATGACGTCAGATAGCTGGAGGAAAAAAAAGCAGACGATCCAATTACCAATCACTGAAAATAAAATACTTGTTGGTTCTTTCCGCCTGCTTTAAATTTGTTTACTTTTACATAACCTCTAATTTTTGACAATTTTGCAGGCTTCGCACTAATCTACTGAAACCTACTATTTACTACTTTTTTTACGTTATGCTACTATTTGGGTACTTTTTTAGATACCAGCCACTAAAAACAACTATTTCTGCTTTTTTTAGAATTAACCCTACTTTAAATTCACTAATACTAGAAATCAAAAAGCTATTATTATGTATATTTGTTAAAAATGGTTAAGGTGGAACTCAGTAAAACAATTATTTGTGCGTAAAAAGGACAACTGAGTTTATTGAGCGACTACAACGATTTCCAACTGTTCGTTAGTGAATGAGAATCGCAAAGCGTTCCTCGACCATGAGATGCGTTCAAACGCGGTTGTCACGCATGCGCTTGTTAGCGCGCGAGATTCAACTCCAACACTTCCCCTCAATTGCGATGAACGCGACCTTCAGAACCGGGTATCACTCCGAGGCCTAGTTTATGCTGATCGTGCTTATTGCTCACGAGACCTTTCGTGAGTATGTCTGCAGTCATGTCCTGTGTGCCTTTGAAAACTACGTTGATATCCCCGTCCTTGATGGCATCTCGGATGAAGTGGTAACGGATATCAATGTGTTTCGTCCTGGCGTGAAACACATGATTTTTGGCCAACTTCTGCGCTGATTGGTTGTCATTGAAGATGACGATTGGCTCAGTGACGGATGATCCCATTTCCTTCATGAAACGTCGAAGGTGGATAGCCTCCTTGGCTGCTTCAGTGAGGCCCATGTACTCGGCCTCGGTGCTCGAGAGTGCAACCGTCCGTTGCTTCTTGGATCCCCAGCTGACAGCTCCACCTGCAAAAATAAAAACAAAACCGGTGTATGATCGTCGGTCTTCAGCACAAGACCCCCAGTCTGCGTCCACGTAACCCAAGGGATTTGTTCCGTTTCTGGAGTAGCTGATTCCATGGTCTGCAGTTCCCTTCAGGTATCGTAGGATCCTCTTTCCGGCAATCCAATGTTCTTCTTCGAAAGAGGTGTTGAATTGGCTCAGGTAATTGACGGCGAATGCGATGTCAGGTCGAGTAGCGACCGCCAAATACATCAATGACCCGATCAATTCGCGAAACTCGTACGCTCTTCCGCTTCCATGAGATCCTTGTTCCGGTTTCGCCAGTTTTGCGTTAGGGTCAATTGGCGTTTTGACTGGTTTTGCGTCAGTCATTCCGAAACGATCAAGAATATTTTCGGTATACAGTTTCTGGGTGATTTGTAGACCTTCCTTGGTTCTTGTAAATTCCATTCCTAGGCAGCGTTTTATTTCTCCTAGGTCTTTCGAGGCATACTTTTTGGTTAGCTCCCGTTTCACGTTCTGTATTCGTGACAATTTTTCTGACATGATTATCATGTCATCGACGTAGACGACGATGATCGTAGTGTCATCTCCAGATCCGGAAATGTAGATGCATGGATCCGATTCGAGAGGCTTGAATCCGAGGTACCTCAATTCGGCGTCCAATATTTTGTGCCATTGTCGGCCAGCTTGTTTTAATCCGTAGAGAGCTCCTTTTAAAAGAAATACTTTGTCTCTTCCTTGGATGTCGTGAAGCATGGTCGATGCTGCTCGAATCACATTTTCGTCGAATTTTCCACAGTTGATAATGTCCACTAGGACTTCCTTCAGGAGTTCGGGTATTTCCATATGTATAGTTTCCTCCAATCTGCCGTTCAGATAGGCTGTGGTGACGTCTAGCTGGTGAATTTTCATATCGCGTTCGACTGCAATTGCCATTACCGTTCTTATCGAATTCAAGCGAGCGACTGGAGCGAAAGTCTCCTTGAAGTCGATCCCGGGTCGTTGAGTGAACCCTCTCGCTACGAGACGAGCTTTTCGTCTCTCGATGCTTCCGTCTGTGAAGTGTTTGTTCCTGAGGGTTAGGCGACATCCGATGACGTTCTGCTTAATTGGTCTGGTGCATACTTCGAAGGTTTCCTTTTGGAGTAACGATCCAAATTCTTCTAAAATGGCTTCCCACCATTCGTCGGCATCATCTCCGGACAATGCATCCTCCAGATCAACTTCGGCCAGATTTGCGTGTTCCTCTTCTATGTCAGGTTCCACTGGATTAAAAATTCTCTCGTTGTGGTGGTATATTTTCATTGGTCGTCCTCTGCGACCCGTCCTAAGGATTGTTGGACGGCCTCGTCCTCTTGGATAGGGAACGTACGGAATGTGAGGAAGAATCTCGTCTTCTTCTTCCCCTTCTTCCTCATTTTCTCGATTCGGTGCAGGAATTACGGGTGGATCTGGTGCGGCTTCTCCTTGATCATCGTTCTTTCCTCCAGGATGTAGTTCAATTTCCAGAGTTCGAGTTGAAGGTTTGTTGATTTCCATCGTTGAGATCAGATCGTCTGGTAGAAAATCTTGAAACTTTCCGTCGCTGTCGAACTTGTCTAGAAAGGCGATGTCACGAGTAACTTGCATTTTTCTTTCGCTTGGTATCCAAACTCTGTAGGCTTTGGAAACATCGGAATAGCCTACAAAAATGCATTCTTTCGATCGGGGGTCCATTTTCCCTTTGTTTTGGACTTTATCCAGCGTGTAGGCCTTTGATCCGAATATTCTAAAGTAAGAAATATTTACCCTTTTGCCGGTCCACAATTCAAAAGGGATTCGTCCTTGAAGGCTGCTTGACGGGCATCGGTTCCGAATGTGGTTCGCCGTTGCTACTGCCTCTGCCCAGAAGGATGGTGGGAGATCTGCTTCAATGAGCATGCACCTGGCCATCTCAATCACCGTGCGGTTTCTTCTCTCGGCTAAACCATTTTGTTGCGGTGTATGAGGTACCGTCAACCTTCGTTTTATTCCGCATGTTTTTAGAAAATCGTCGAACTCCTTATCGCAGTATTCGCCGCCGTTATCCGATTGCAGTTGTTTGATTTTCTGTCCGGTTTGGTTCTCCACCATCGCCTTGTAGGTTCTGAAGCTTGAGAATACGTCACTCTTCTTGTTCAGAAAATATATTTCGCACCACCCGGTGCTGCAGTCGATAAACGTTACGAAATATCTCGATCCGCGAATAGATTCGGTGCGCATGGGTCCGCATACG